AAGCAGGAAAAAACAAAAATTTTCATTTCACAAACTCTAATTCGGAATTTACCTACAGAGGCAGAAAAACGAATTTTTCGTATTATTTCGCATCCGAAACACAATTTAATAGACATGAACGAAAGAAGAATCCCCAACCATCTATTGCAGTCAAATGGCTATTGCAAGCACGATATAATATGAAAGAGCTTCGAGAATATCGAAAATGTGGTGTTTCTTTATGGTGCTGTATTAAATCTTACTATGTAAGTCTTTTACGTTTTCATTAACATCAGAGAGTATTTTTGTGATGTTCAGCTGCTATAAGAATTCTGTCTTCTATATTTTTAAACCTGTGGATGTCAGCTATAATCAGGTATGCCATCTAATGAGTGACTGAGTTAAACTTCGTAGTATTCTAAATGTCCTGGATTTTTCTAAATATTAATTTTTGTTCTTCCCACTCTTAGCACAAAAGGTTAGCTCTCCTCTCCTTTTGTCATTAGTTTTACTATTTGAATGGTACTGATCTAGAATGACGGATGGTATGAAATCGCATGCGACGCTAGTACTATCTTGCCCTCACTATTCATTCTCAGAAATCTTCTCCCATCGAAAATGTTATGACTATGCGCGATTGGAGACGTTTTGGATGAAATGTTTACATTCTGAAACCAATAGTAATGATTACCAAAAAAATACATATGCCTAAATGTTGCATTACGGTGATATGTCATTTTGATTAGTCTGAGATGTTGCTCATAAGTTCTATCTTCCTAGAAACTTATTGGCATTGTCACGAAAGAGCAAATATCTTTTCTACACAAAGTAAAATCAGTCACTGTTCTATTGTGTTTTTCTTCCAAACTTCATAGTGTTTTTTCGAAATATTATCACATTTAGAATATCAGTATTGTCAAGCTTTTTCATTTGTTTTTCCTTTATTAAAGCCGCTTTCTCAGTTTTTGTTCGTACAACGAACTCTTAGAGATCCATATCAATTCATCATGTTTCTTACTGATTTTTCTTTCATGAAATTCTTTGGTGTTATGCTTTCTTCATTTCTAGGTGGCAGTCGATGTTATTCATTGTGTTATGATAGTCGATGACTGGAATAGTGTAAGACAACTTACTACACTATCCAGCCTAATTGATAATTGCAATAACGCTACTGTGAAAACTCTATGTACGTCATTATTGAAAATTGTTTGTGAATATGAAAAAGGATGGAAAGAAGATTTTTATCAGAAATATTCTTCAGGTATTTTAATCAAAGTCTAGTCATTTGAAGTAGTTTTATTGTGATGAAATATTGTGAAACACAACCAACAAAGAAATAACTTCACCCTAAGTTCAAAGAGTGATCACTTCAATGTTTGAAGTTTCTTCTGCATTTTCTCACATTATTAGTAATACTACAAAAAGTAATCATCTTTTGTCTTGAATTTTAGCCGATGCATCCAGAGCTTATCAACTGGCTGAACAACTTTACAAAGAAGCTGAAAATGTATGTTTAACTTAACTAGAAAATGAAACAATATCAATTTACCTTTTTCTAATCTCATCTACAAATACCAATTGATATTATGATATCAATATGGATTATCACGAAAGTGTGGAATTATGAAACAATTCATTCTTTTCTACACAAAGTGAAATCAGTCACTATACCATTGTGTTTTTCTGATTTTGCAATTTATATGTATTCTCATAGGTTTTGTAACAGGCATTAAGCTGGTAAAATTTATTTCAATAAAATAAGATTTAAACTTTTGTGATGCATTTTTCAGACAGAAACTGGCTGAAAATATGCAAGATTATAAGTAACATCTACATGTGAGAAAATATAATCGTAGTTTTGGCTTTTCTTTCTTTCTTTCTTTTTATTTTGGTAAAAAATCATGGTACATAAAAAAGAAGTACAGACATACGAATGACTTGTAACAGAAAAATAAATACGAATGACTTGTAACAGAAAAATAAATACGAATTCAAAATTTCTGCCTATCATGACCAACAACTAAAAATATCAAAAGTGGAAAATAGCGAAAGAAACGGTTTTCACAAATAAAATTAGAAAATAAAGACGATTAAAGATGAAGATGTTCCTTTAAGACCTTTTTAAGTTTTTGATAGAATTAATGGAAACGACTTTTTCTAGATCTTTAGCATTCCAGTCTTTTGCAGTCCTCCAAAAGAAGGATGACTGGACAGTCTCGAAAGCAGTGAAGGGTATGTCGACCGTGTAAGAACGCGATGTTCGGAGAGACCTAGAAGTCAATTTAGGAAGATAATCCTGAGATTTCAGAGGAGTCAAGTGATTGTAAATTTTGTAAAATGATATAATCAATAACACCAAGCATTTTCCGACAAGATGTTGATACTTCGCGAATATGTGCTGCCCATTTCATATCATGAGAAAGACGTATAACCAAAAGTTTAGGACCGGTGTCGCGCAAGGGCATCGAGTTTACTAAAGTTAACTTGAAATCAGGCTTTATTTTAGGATCAAGTGAAAAATAAGTGTATGAACATTTGTCAACGTTGAGTGACATATGATTTTTTTCGCACCAGTCTGTTACCCTGTCTATTTCACCTTGAACTAAATTTTGAATAACAGAAATGTTTTCCGATTTTTTGACGATAACACGATAAAAAGATCATCAGCAAAAAAACTATCTATCACAGACGATGAAACTGGCGCGGAAGCTTCCCATAGCAGCAAACATCTGCATCGAAGAGGTTTGCCTTCGTTTTTCCTCAAATCAGGTTTTTCATGTATTTTTTTAAGCAGAACAATCTTATAAAATGAGTATAACAGTTGACGTATCGGAACTGGATTTGAACTTCAGAAGACACTCACGAGCAGACATTATGACAAGGCTTCAGTCTTAAATATCTTCTTTGCTTTGACAAATCCAACGATCTTTGATTTGGATCGTTAAATGTTTAAAGTCATTAAAATGGAAAAATTTCTGAACAGCGAACGATTGCAATCGCACTAAATATTCATGTGACTTGAGAAAGTCTTTTTGATAGCCATAAAACTTTTTCATGAGCTTTCAGTGCTTCATCTAACCTTTTCTGTTTCCAGAAAAGATTTCCAATATTTTCCAAACTGTTTGCCAAAGATTCTTGATCTAATATCGGAATGTATTAATTTATATTAATATCCAAATGCTCGGATGTGTCTATATCATGTGGTTCACATCGACGATTTGACACTTATGTGTTCCTTTTCTCAAGTATTATATTCAGCGTCTGAAAAAAAATGCATATACTATTATCCATGCCAAAATGTAATGCCGTTCCTCTTTTTTGATTAACTTTGCACAGAAGAAAGCTAGACACTTGCCATTTCCAGTAATCGAAAGTAGACACCTCAGACTAGTTTTCCACAAGTAAAAATAATTAAAAAAAAATTTTGAAACCGGTTTAAGAACAGATCTTTAGAAAACCAGTTTGGATCTCGGAGAACTGAGATAGAAATATATCGATCTTTCTTCATAGATAGATAGTCTACATATCACTGAAATTCGATACGTAGGTGTTTTAGTTTTTGAGAATTTGTTGATCATGCGCTTTGATTGCAGAATTACTAAAACATGCAATTACCTACAAAGAAGGTCAATTTCAGGAATCCTAGATGGCAAAGCACGGGTTCTAATACCGGGACAAGATTTCAGAAGCTTTTCTCTACTTAAAAATATCAGGGAGCCCCTGTTTAATCAGAAACTACGTGAGGTGATTGAGCATGCGTCCACTGACATATGAAAAAAAACTTTTCCATATATCGGCAATTTTTAATGCACTACGACCATTCCACGTAACTCTGCTGCCGCAGAGCTGATTGCGTTACTGTTTTTAGGTAATTTCAAAGGTTATAACTTTTTCTCGAAACAACTTCTAGAAAAGTTATAAAGTTTTGAAGTTCCCTAAAAACGCTGACGTAATCAGCATTCTGGTACCAGAGTTATGGCCGATTAGTTAATTCTCGTCTAAGATGCCCCTCCCTCTCTCTGGAATATGACAAATTTACTTTTTGAAGAATATCAAAATGAGAGAACTAAAATATATTCAGAACGACTTACCTAATGTTAGTAAATCTGAAATGATTGTTGTGTCCGGTTTGATTCTTGCCGAAACCAAAGAAGTGGATACTGAATCAGGTGATGATGTTGACTGACAATCATCACATATAATTTCGATTGTAACAGAATTCGAATATAATGATACTGGACTTCCATCTTCAGATGGTAGAATTCGATTCATAACAACACCCAGTAATAATTTGGACGATGGGTGAAGATCATTTGTTGTTGTGTTCGGTTCTAGTGCATAATTAAGATATAATTTTTTGAAATTGAATGTATCGATTGTCAATGGATTACTTATTAGTAAAGGAAAGTTTTGTACTATCCATTCTTTAGTATTTGTTACTGGTATCAAAGCACAAAATGAAATTTCATCTATTGACATTGTACTAACATTGTGAAGAACAGGGTCTGTATCCAGAGATTGTCCTTCGTTTGATTGGACGAACAATGTCAATGTTTCATTCACTTTTATTTTGTCGCTCGAAGAAACTAAACACCCGCTTAATAAATAATTTAATACATCATCTTTTTGATTGTTTAATTTTAGTGTAGCAGTGACAGTGTTTAATGATGTTGCTGGAAATTTAACTGTAGCTTCTATTTCGAATTCCCAAGCTAATGGTAATTGATCTTTTGTATAATTTATGAGTAATTTCATATTATCTAATCTGATTTTACCAATCTCAGCTGTAATATTATTTGCTACTGTAACAATAAATGTACCAGCAGATATAACCCAGTTGGCTGGCTGTTCTCCATCTTCATCTGATTGATATTTAACATCAATATCAAATTGTTCTAAACTACAATGATCGATAATCGTACCTAATAGTGGTATGGTACTAATAGAATTGACAATATCACTTGATAAAAATTGTTTTAATACAATACTTAATGTTAAATTATTTGTATTATCAAATTTAAATTTACCCAATGTATTAATTGTTGGTAAATTTGCTTCTAATGAACATTTATAAATTTTATTGTTTGTGTCATCATGAAAATCCATTGTCGTTTCAATATGAGCATTAAAAACTGACTGTTGATATGTTACATCTAACTGAAATGATTTTAATTCTAAAATATTCGATATAATTGTTAATGGTTTATTAACATAAATTGAAAATTGAAATTCATTTATGTTATGTGTATAATTTTGTGTTGATAGATGAAAATATTTTTCTATTTCAAATAAAAAATAATCAATATTTAATGAATTTAATGTAGACCAGAGATACGGTGGTATTAATGTTTCTGTTACACTAAATAGAGTAAATGCATCAGCAAAACTAAAATCTGTTGTTATCATTGCATATGATGCTTGTATTTGTTCGTTCGAATTAATAAATTTAAAATATTTTTCTTTTTCATAGTTAACGTAACCTTTATTAACAGCTTTTATTTCAATTGTATAAAGACTATCATTCATCAATGTTGCTATTGGAATTTGATGATAACGAATATAAACAGGTGTATATTTCGTAAGTTTCTTATCATCGATATTTTTTGTTATCAACATTGTCGATTGTATATCATAACCGATATTGTGTGACATGTGAATATAGTATTCACCTAATGGGATAATAATATTTGCTGTTGTATCATTGAATGAAATTTGTAATTTCGGCCATAATGTTGGTAATATACTTGTGAGTATTGTTTGTTGTTGTGCTTTTAAATCAGTTTTTATAACTAATGTTTCAAATATCCATTGTTCAGAAACGTTTTTCACTATAAATCTGGCTGATTGTATTTTTACGGTATTGAAAAGAGTATTTAACAAAGATACATTTAACGTATCCCATTGATCAGAGAGTTGTGTATTGAATTGTGAAATAAGAGATTTAATTTGTATTTGATCGATATATTGTGATGTTGATGTATCAATTTGGATTAATAATTTATTACTATAATCTGTGTTGAATGAAATAATAACAGGAATTAATCCAATTGCAACAGCTGTTATTCGAAAGATCATTCTGGTTGAAGTTTCGATATAAACTGTAATGGTTTTTGTTTCAAAACCAATATTACAGAATGTAAATTGTGTGGAGGGTTTTAATAAAATTAATTTACATTGAGAAACATAAGGAGTTTTATTTGATAGTAATGATGTACAATAAACTATTGATTGATGTAAGTCAATGTTACAATCAAATATATTTAATGTTGTTATCAGAAATATTAGCCATCTCATAAAAATTAGTCGAAATACGACATCACTACCTAATAAAAAATTCATCACATTAAAAAGTTTTGTTGAATTTTCATTTTTTATATAATCGGGCCATTCTAATCTTAAATATTCACTTAATAGAACATTTGTATAACCTGGTTGTATAAGATCATTTTTAACATTTAATTTTAATTTTAACTCCATTGTTTCGTCTGTAGTTAAATCAGATACTAGAATTAATGAAAACACTAATTCAGCTGCCAATGTGTTTGGTGCATTGATGGTAACTGTCACAGATACAATTGGTAAATTTTCACCAGCAACGCTAATGAATGGAACAGGATCTGTTGTAGGTATTGTTAATTTTAAAATACATGAATCAAGTACATATGCATGTAAGGTTGAATCTTGATGGTAAACAGTTGTACATTGTGAATAAGCTGTTAAGCATGATGAAATATCATTTAATATTTGATGATTTGACGATGATTTATGAAATGCTCGTGTGATTGTATCAATACCAAAGACTAATTCAAGATAAGTCTGACATGTTTGTGTTATTGTTCCTGCTATATAATTGATTGCTGTTAAATACTCATCTAAACTATATTGGTGTTGACGTATAACATTTTCAAAAGAAAAAGCATGTAATTCAGATGATAATGTTCTAATTCTAACTTGTGAGCATTCTTCAATATCTTTATATAAATCATCATCAGTTTTTCCTTGAACATCAATCAGATCAATAGTTGTTGCGTCCAATCGTTTTATAAGAAAAGTTACTCCATTATTATCAGTCCGAGTTATTGTATCATAATATTTACCAGTAGTACTAGCGACTTTTCGTTTGACATTAAAAATATAGAATGAATCTTTTGTTTTTACTGCTGTCGTAGAATCGATTCCTATATAAAATAAACGAAGGTTAGCGAAGAATCTTCCAGTCAAGAAATTGTTTTGCGCTGACCAATAGGCTGGTGTATTTTGCAATATGAACTCCTTTTTTGCGTTTAGAGCAAGGTATGACGATGTGCTTTTATTTCCAATTTCAATTACAACAACCATTTTATGTGTTGATGGTGTTGAAATAAAATGGAATGTAAGACTTTGAGTTCATAAATATTTTGAATGGCTCATCTTTGGTTGTTTTTGATTGCATTATTTAACTGATCAATATTAATTGCATTGCCTTGCGTCAGATAAATTACAGGTGTTGTATTAACAAAATATGCTGATCGAAAATTTTGACATGCACAAAATAGGCCCATTAATAATTCTAAACACAATAATATCTGATTTACAAACATCAATTGATAATTTGAAATCTGGGGATTCTTTTGCAACAAATTTAACCAACATCTGGTTAAGAAGTAAAAAACAACAGCAAATATGAATTGATAGTGGAAACCAAATACAAACATTACCTTCGAATATTGTTCCTGTTGAACCAAATAGTAATGATAAAATGATAACAAATACGGCAATAGAAAGGTTAGCCACACCATTTGATAATTTTAGTATCGAAGAAGATATGGAACTGCCATTAAAAACAGGTTTAACAGTTTATTTAAAATTTAATTTAAATCAAGCATCACCAAACGTAACAACAAGTGGTTTATCACGATTAATATCAATTAAAAACTCATCATCCAATCAACCAATTATACTGTGTGGTTACTTTAATGGTACAAATATTAAATTTGTAGGTAAAAATTTGAATGTACATGTTGATTTGTTTCATTCAGTTCGCGTTGAAACAGATAAATTTAATTATGAACAATCATTAACAACACATACATTTTCTATCGACAGCAATGTTGGCATTGATTTAACAACTGAAGACAACGATGATCAACAACATCGCACATATTCATTATTACGTGGAACATTAATATTAGAAGACGAAAAAATTAGTTTTGAATCAAAAATTGGTGAACAATTAACTTCAGCTATCAATTCACCCCTGGGATTATTTGGATTAACAATTAATCATAAAAATTGTCAACTGAATATTTCATATACATGGCCCGATAGAGAAAAAACATCTGATTATTCTTTAACATATTCATTTCTATGTGACATTCATCTAGAGAATGTTCTTACATCAAAAGATTCACCTCCAGAAGAAAAAATAATTCGAACGTTAATTTTATCCGGTCATAATAGTGACAGTAAATTAATCTATTTAGATTTATAACAATCAAGAATCGGCTTAATGCATTTTTTGTTAAAATTAATTGGTTTCACTTGGCCATATACAGCTGATATTTATCTAGAAAAAGAAATTTATTACACAAAAAATGATATTGATATTGAATTGAATCGTTTATCACTTACACAACTAGAAAATAGAACAACACGTCGATTTAATGCTGGTTACCATTTTACAATCAATATTGAAGATTTACTTACATTTAATATCGGTATTACGCGTACAACAAATGTCCAGGGTATAAAACAATTAACAATAGCAGGAAATACGACTGATACGATCAGTTTGGGCTTTTGTACTCTGACAGGAAATGGTCAAATAGATAAAGGGCCAAGTGTTCTAATTAAAACATCACCATTAACATTTGCACTTGAACTAGACTTTTTTTTATTTGATAAAATGGAACAAAAATTTGGTTCGCTATCATTAGCATGGTCATCTGACCGAGAATTTATTGATAATGCAATGGTGCAAATACCAGGTACCTATGATGTTCGAGTAGATTTAAAAATGAAATGGGACAAAATAAATGCGTATCAGTTGATACATTTTAAAATAAATAATTGGGATTTTGATGGTGCTTTGAATGCAATACAATTAGCAAAACGTATTAAAGAATATCAAAAACCAAACACTAATCCATGTATAGCGTTATGTGATTTTATATTTGCTGAAACAATTATCACAAAATTTAATGTTGATTTTAAATTTAAACAACCAAGAACAGACGAACAAGATAAGACTATGTTTCCAGTTGGTATTACAGGACAGCTAATTCTTGAGATTCATTTTCCTCTGAGAAGTAAACCAATAATAACATTTTCCTTCGATATAACAACAATTGAGTTACTTATTAGTCCACCTGAAACAAATCAAACAATTGGAGAATGGTTTATAAATATGATTAAAGAAAATTCATTGTTATTTGTAAATCAGTTATTTTTTGAAGATAATAATCTTCGAAATCTTGGCCTTATGTTTGCTATATTAGACTTTACCGATTATGCAAAAGATGCAATTGCAGCATTAGCTTGTCGACGAATTCCACGTGTACCAGGAAATTTTAAAGATCGTTTTGATCATGATATAAATGACGATAAACCATCCCAGCCACCAAAGCCTCCACCTGGTAATCCAAATGATAATGAATGGGTTGAAGCTGTTGTTAAGCTTGCAGCAGTCGTAGGCGCACTTGCTGCTCTGGCTGATGTTTTAGCAAGTTTGATAGAGGCCATCGCAAGTTTGTTTCAAATAAATTCAGTAAAAGGAAAAATATCTGCCGAAGGAGCAAGAAAAGCTGCACATCGAGCAGAATGGGGTAAAAAACTGAATATGTTAATAGACAAAATAGAAACATCAATTGAAATGTCATCATCTAAAAGTTGTTTTGTACGAGCAGCGGAATCATCAGGTAGCGCTGCAAAAATTACTGTTAATTGGAAACCACCGTTAAATGGACCAAAAAAAGATAAAAATGGAAAAAACATTAAACTCAAATATGAAATGAACTTGAATATTGACAGCACAATAAATTTTTCAACGCGGCATATTGAATTTGAATACGATGATATACATAGGCATGCACCAATATCAATCATTATTGAAGATATTGTACAATATTATTGGCTATCCAATAATATTGAGACCCAATACTATTGTATTCCCAATATATTGGGATCAATAATATTGGTCAGCCAATCT